GTTGTCGTTACGCATTCTTTATTTTTTTAAGACAACGGTTTTAGTTGTTTTTAAGTGTATTTAAATACACAACACTACAAAAATAAAGATGTTATCAACAAGAGTTGAACCTATGACCTCAAACATAACAAATAAGGTCTAACCAACTAAACAACAAAACCACTTATGTTTGAAAGTGCAACATCTGGTATATAACTGTGTTGGTTCGGTGTTGTTTGTGAAAACCAAGACAAATTTTAGAAAAATAGTTTAAGGATCCCCCAAGACTTCTAACATAATAAATTAAGCTAAACCCACCAAACCACATCAACACTCATGTAATTAAACGCAAGATCTATTCTATATAGCCAGTTTGCTTCTGTGTTGTCTTTGAAAACAAAGACAATGATTGTATAAAATTAATTAAAGATGCCACTACTAAGGATTGAACTCAAAACCTTTAACATAACAAACAAAACTTAATCCACCATGCTACACTAACACTTATATGTTAATGCGCAACATCTAGTATATAATCAGTTTGCTTCTGTGTTGTCTTTGAGAACCAAGACAATAAAATTGGTTTAGGATACCACCATGAAAGATTGAACCCAAGACCATTAATTAACATAACAAACAAAGCTAAATCCACCAAGACACACCAACTCTTGTGTATTAAAGTGTTACACATTATATTTTACCTATAATTTAATAGTTCAATTTTCGTTCATATTTAAATATAAAATTATTCACCAAAATTTAAATGTCAATTCATTAAAATTTTGTTTTCAATTAAGACCGTACCAATCTATGAATTCAAAAAAAAAATAAAAAAATTATCAAGTGTAAAAAATTACAGATTATATCTATAATATTTTTTTAAAAGAGTAGTTGATCGATGCCGTACAGTTAGCTATATATATCCCATTTCTTTTAATTTGCTGCGATCTTAGCTTTAATTTGTAATATAAATATATAATTGGGCCGCGAGCTGTCTGGGTAATAAAGGGCAAATTATGCTGTGTAACTGTGCATGGTGCACACTGTTCTATCATCATAATTACCGAACTATATATATATATATATATATATATATATATATATATATATATATATATATATATATATATATATATATATTCATAATTTTTGAATTGAAATTCATATTCATAATGATTGAACTCTGATCTATATTCAAAATTACAGGACATTATGTTCATAATTTTCGATGTTCATATTCCCAATTGTTGATAAATAGGGATGTCAATCGGGCTAGCCCTGTTGGGTTGTCGGGCTAATCGGTTTATTAATATTTTGGCGGGGACAGAGAATCCCGGTCTTCGGTCAATAATTATTCCATGTATGTTAGGTTTCACATCACTTTTATAATAAAAATAATTTTTAATAGTTCGGGTTATCGGGCTAGGCCTTTTAATTTCGGGCTAGCCCTATCGGGTCATCGGGCTTATCGGTTTTGGGTTCATCGGGCTAAAGTTTTTTAGCGTGCTAGTCCGTTCGGGCTATAACCCTATCGGTTTCAGTTTTATCGGGTCGGGCCATCGGGTTAGGGCTAAATTGACATCATATCCCTATTGATAACTATACAGTTTATAAATTATGAATCAACAATACAGAAATTATGAATCTGTAGTATAGAAATTATGAATCTACTGTATAGAAAGTATGAATCTATATAATACTATATTTAAATTCGAAATATACTGTATAGAAATTATAAATCTACATTTAATAATTTAGTCTAAGCTATACACAATTTCTTAATAAAATTAATAATTTCCTATGAAATGTCCCTCTAAGATATACCCAATTTCCCTCTGACAAAATTATTTTAGGAAATTTTACTAAGACAAAATTTCAATTCCCGCTAAGACAAATTCCAATTCCCTCTAAGACTGACAAAGCAAAGTAAAATTAGAAAAATTTTCTCTCAGACAAAATTTCGAAGTCAGACAACTCCGCCGACTGTCGACCGCCGACCGCCATTCTCGTCCGACAGCTCCAACCTCAGACACTGTCGTCGCGTCCAACCTCTGCCGCCAACACCCCCTCCATCCTCTGTCGTCGTCGCTCCAACAACCGCCGCCGTGAAGAAGTGAGTACAGTGGTGTGAAAAATTTAAGGTTAGCATTTGTACTCTAATAATGTAATAAGCTGTCAAATTCATCAAAAAATTATCTGATTGTATCAATGTGTGTTTATGCTAAACAATTTTGGGTTTAAGCTATGGTTGGGAAATTAGGGTATGAATTTCTGCAAAAATTTTGTGAAATTTCTACCTTAGTGTTGTTACATTTATGGTAAAAATCTGAGTTGTTAGGGTAAATTATACTATGGCTTGGTTGGTTGTCTTTGTTTTGGCCACATTTACTTCATCAGTTCTGCCTACGGTAAAGAACAAAGAACAATGCTTGCATTTGTTTTGCCTTTTTGAGATGGTCCTGTGATTTTTGTTTCTGGGGTGCAACAAAGAACAAGCTTATTTGGGTGCAACAAAGAACACGCTTGGTATTAAAGAAGCAATGTGATGATTAATTTGTTTAAGCTAAGGAATTAGACCACATTAAAAATTAAAGTTCTAACCAAATTTATATGGCTCATCATCTAGAGTTCAAATTTAGTATGAAATTATGACATTAAAAAGTTTTGATCAAATTTATATCAATGTTTCAAATTCAGCATGAAATTGTCAACTTTGACAGGTTTAACTGAATTTATGATGGATAGTTTTAGGGGGAAAGAAATCATTCAAGTTGTATGTTTAACTTAATTTCTAATTAATTTTATAGAGAATGTAGCTATTTTAAGGAGGCACTCTATCTCTTTTTGAAACTTATTTAGTCCAAGGAAAATCTTGAACTATTTTTGTTGCAAAAATAAAAGCGAATAATTGCTGCTGCTTAGTGGTCAAATACACTCATTATGAAACCTTCCATCATAAGCCTTTTGCAGTCCATATTACCCAAAATAGGAGACAATATATGACTGCAACACTAGAAAATTAAAACAGATCAGATGCAGTTCATGGAGGTTGGAAATCATGAAGGTTGGTAAGGGAGCTTGGTATTAAAGAAGCAATGTGATGATTAATTTGTTTAAGCTAAGGAATTAGACCACATTAAAAATTAAAGTTCTAACCAAATTTATATGGCTCATCATCTAGAGTTCAAATTTAGTATGAAATTATGACATTAAAAAGTTTTGATCAAATTTATATCAATGTTTCAAATTCAGCATGAAATTGTCAACTTTGACAGGTTTAACTGAATTTATGATGGCTAGTTTTAGGGGGAAAGAAATCATTCAAGTTGTATGTTTAACTTAATTTCTAATTAATTTTATAGAGAATGTTGCTATTTTAAGGAGACACTCTATATCTTTTTGAAACTTATTTAGTCCAAGGAAAAGCTTGAACTATTCTTGTTGCAAAAATAAAAGTGAATAATTGCTGCTGCTTAGTGTGTTCATGTTGAAATTAAGTATTTTAATAAATCAAATTAAATCTGCTGTTATTTCTATTTAAATGGGAATATAATTGTGTCATTATTCTGTTACTATTTGGTGTCTCTAATGAATGTTAAAGACATTATAAGATAGATGAATTATATGAAATGCCCTTTAGAAACAGAACAATGGACACATAATTGAGTGAGTGATCACATATTTTGTCTTGTTACTTGAATATTTTTAAGCAATATATTTTTCTTGAAACTTGACTGTTTTGTAGCATAACAATGGACAAAGAATGGATGTCAAAAGATAGATTATGTTATGAATATGAGGTTGGAGTAGAATCTTTTTTACAATTTGCTAAAAAAAAATGCCGTTGATCCTAATTCAATATCATACCCATGTGCAATAACTTTCACTAATAACTTAAACTCATTTTCACCCTTAGTTTGACATTGATAAATCTTCTTGGCTGTAGTCAACAGAATTGTGTGATGATGACGAAGTGAACATAGCTATACTTTGGAAGAAAGGGAGAACTAGTAAGAAAGGAGAAATATAAGGAGATGTTTTGAAGACAAAATTTACAAAGATTGTAAGCAAAACCTTTAATTTACTGGTATTTTCCTCTTTATGTATTTCGAAAGATTGTGGTTATCATGGTCATTTGTCATGAATTACCGGATGAATATATTCAGCAAAAGCAAGATGGTTTGTTGCAACTTCAAGGACCAAATGAGGACATCCTGACACAGGCACTCGAAAAACATCTTCGTAACCTGCTGATCGAATCAAATTGGTTTTCGTACAATTGCATACAAGAATGCTAAGAAATTAGGATTATTGGAAGCTATATATGCCATTGTCTTCAAGCAAGCTACCAGGAGAGAGATCTTCTTCTTCAATTCGAGAGCTATTAGACAACATAATTATTATGGTGAGTTAATTAATGTACACTGGCTGCAGCTCTTCTCCACTTCACACTTCCAAAATTCTGAGTATTTAGTCTCATTGTAATTGTAATTTTATGTTTATTGTTGGCTGTGAGGTTAATTTTCATATGAATAATATTGATTGTAAGGTGTTCGACAAAATTCCTCAGTGGTCTATCAGGATAACCGCAAAGCACATTGACAGCTCTTTTATTTTTCTTACAAAGTTTTCAATCTTTCAATTAGGGAAAAAAAACCCCTCCCTAGTGTTCACTCTCCACCGAAAACAAGAATTTGCAAATTAGATGATTAGTTAATGGGAGTAACTTGTGCTTGTGGAATTCTTTTGCGTTGCATTCCAATCTTGCTAAGCACTAAGTCTTAGTCGAGAAAGGCGTCATCTTTTATTCATTCCTGTAGAAATTGAGTGAAAAGTTACACAAGCTCTTCCTCAATACTGCTTAGGTTCTAATGTGTTCATGAACAAACTATACAAACAAAAATGGAGTAGGTGTTATGCAGCCAAAACGTTCCTTGTTTAGGTTTATCTATGAAGTAAATGTTCATTTATTTATCTATAACCAATAAAGGTATTTATTTATCTTATTTTCTCAGGTTATTTTTAATTCTAATTGTTCTAGGTTTCTTGTGCCAAAGTAAAATAAGGCTTTTCTTGTGGAAGAATAAAGATGCTTAGTAGGATATGCAGACGTAGCTTCAGCTCTGTTTTTCCTCAACCATGGCTCTTTATTTGGCTGGGCAATCCTGGTGATAAATACAAGGGAACAAGACATAATGTATGTTGCAATTCTGTTGAAAATTCCCGATTGAGTTATGCCTTTATATAATGTGCAACTTTATTTTCCGGCTGGTTGGATTTGATATGGTAGATGCATTTGCACAGTCAGTTGGCATCCAGATGGATGATGTACATTGCAAAGCTATATTTGGGAAAGGTGACTTTAGCTCAACCACTTTCTTTTTGTAGCTTTTATGCGAATATTTTTATACTGGTTTATATGGTTTGTAGTAAGGATTTGTGTCCATGTGCTGATTGGTGTTGGTAAATTGCAATTTCCAGGTTTCCTTAATGGAGTTCCAGTTTTCCTTGCTAAGCCCCAAACTTATATGAATTTGAGTGGTGAATCTGTAAGCTATTATTAAATTTATGTTTAGAGCCAATTGATGCTTTGGTTTTTCAGTATGCCAATTGCCTTGATATCTAGTTTTAGGTCATCGGTGTGGAATTTATTTTACTAATATGATCTTAATTCATGGAAAATATTTCTTGATATGGCACTAAATTCTTATGCAGTGATATGAGAGAGTGAAATTCATTATAGCTATGCTTGCTCACTGGAGTTGGACTTAGTTTGGCACTTCCTTAATAACATAAATCATGCTTTGTGGTGTCTAAGTTGGTCCCCTTCACTCCACTTCCTATACCCTTGTTTCTCTCCCCTTCTCTTGTTTTTGTTTTCACCTTTCTCTATGTCATAGTATCCTACTTTTTCAGTCATGAACTTTGTAATGGTCATGACTGGTTGAAACTTTGAGGGGATTTGATTTTAGCTATTCATATAATGGATCAGATAGTTGTAATTTGTAACCAATGCACATATGGGAGCAGATCAATACTTGGTGGTTCAATGTGTCTCCCCTCAATTTTGATGACTTAAAGGTCAATGCAAATAGGAATATAAAGATTTGTAAGTCAACAAAATGTCTTACTGTAATTTTGACATATTTTTTAAGAGTTAATACCAATGTTGAAAATATCGCTAGGCGCATGGGGACCGCCTAGGCGGGCGCCTAGCGCGTAGGCACGATTTTTGCAACACTGGTTAATACCATATAGAGTCCTCCGAGTATAGTGATTTTGCCACGTTTAATCCTAAACTTTCAAATTACCACTCATGGTCCTTCGACTTTCAAGTTGTTACCATCTGCGGTCCAAGTTAACCATGTTGAAACACAAAAGTTGTGTCTGTAGAAATATAGCTGTTGAAGTTGTGTAGGGTTGTGTCTATTAGGATTGTGTCTCTTAGTCTGTATATATATTTATCTATTGTCTCCTCATTGAGACAAGCAAGTAATAAAAACTTCTTCTACATCTTCTTTTTCAACATGGTATCAAGAGCCAAAAGTCAAAATTTGAAATTTTTTTTCCGGTGAACAGTACATTTACTGTTCATTCGAAATTAATTTTTCAAATTATTTGCTATTGGTGAGATATTTTATCAAATTAGTACTACAGCCGCCTTACCCATCCTCCGGCGACCATTACCCATCAATTCCGGTCGCCGGAATCTCCTCCACGCGCCTCCACGCGCCACCGCGTCGCCGGCGCTCCGACACCACGCGCCGGCGCGTGAGGCCATCTCCGGCGGCCTTTTTCGGCGAGATTTTCCAGATCGTATCGTCGGCTCTCCTCCTTTCCTTCCGTGCAATCAGATTTATTTTTGGTCACGATGTCTTCCGACGGAAATTCTAATAATTCAGGTACTATTTCTCCTGCCAATAATTTATCTACTTCTTCGAGCTCTGTTTATGTGCCCAATCTGTCTGGAAACCCGGTAATCACTTCTGAAAAATTATGTGGTTCTCAAAATTACCACTCTTGGTCGGATGCCGTAGAATTATGGTTTATGGGCCAAGGTGTTGTTGACCACTTGCAAAAAGAAGTGGATATGATACCGGAAAAAGAAAAGACAGTTTGGCAAAGGTTAGATGCTCAACTTTGTAGTCTCCTTTGGCAGTCTCTTTCTCCACAATTGTTGCCTTTATTCCGGCCCTTTAAGACATGTGTCGGGGTGTGGAGTCAAGCTCAATCTCTGTACACTAATGATGTCTCTCAATTCTATAATGTTGTTGACAATTTGGTTAACTTGAAGAAAGATGGTATTGATATGGAAACTTTTCTTGGCAAAGCCCAAAGTTTAATTGCTGAGTTTGGTACACTCATGCCTATTGGTGGTACACCCGCAGAGCAACTTACCCAACGAGAGAAATTCTTTGTCATACTTCTCTTAACCAAATTAGGTCCAGAATTTGAAAGCATCCGGAATCAAGTTCTTGGAAGCAACATTGTCCCGGGGACCACCGAGTTGTTCAAACGGCTCTTGCAGGTCACCTCCATTCCGGGTACTCACACATCCACTACCGAACAATCTGCTCTAGTCACACAAGGTGGTCGTGGACGAACTAACAATCGTGGTGGACAGAAAAACACTAGAGTGTGTGATTATTGTAATAGAACTGGGCACACACGAGATCAGTGTTGGAAACTTCATGGGAGACCGGTACGTACGCAAGCAAGTGTTGCTCAATCTCAACCTGGGGAACCAAATTCTCGAACCATTTCTGCTGCTGAGTATGAAGAGTTTGTTCGATTTAAAGCCACTCCCAAAGCTTCTGGTTTAACTCCTGCAGCCTACACTGATGGAACTCATACTGCCCTTGTATCACAATCTGGCATGAGCGGACCATGGGTTATCGATTCAGGTGCCTCTGAGCATATCTCTGGTAACTCATCTTTATTTTCTCATTTCACCAAGTCTAAGTCCCTTCCATCTATTGTTTTCGGTAATGGGTCCAAGAGTACGGCTACTGCAATTGGAAAGGCTTCCCCCCTTCCTACTTTGCCTCTCTCTTCAATTCTTTATATACCTAATTGTCCTTTCAATTTAATTTCTGTTCATCAACTTACAAAATCTTTGGACTGTACGGTCACTTTTTCTTCTGATTCTGTCATTATGCAGGACCGTCGTTCGGGGAAGATGATTGGCTCGGGGTATGAATCAGAAGGACTTTATCGATTATCTACCCCAAACCCTTCTACAGTTTGCACTGCTATCATTCCTCCTTCCCTTGCCCATGACCGACTAGGACATCCTAGCCTTAAAAAATTACGGCGACTTGTCCCTAGTTTGTCTCACTTATCTACCCTAGAGTGTGAAGCCTGTCAGCTTGGCAAACATTCTAGAACATCGTTTCCTAATCGTGTTAATAAAAGAGCTGCTTTCCCTTTTTCCTTAGTTCATACTGATGTTTGGGGACCTTTTCGTTATAATTCAATTCTTGGTTTTAAATATTTTGTTACCTTCACTGATGATTTTTCTCGTTGTACATGGGTCTTTTTAATGCAAAACCGTTCTGAAGTACTTAATGTTCTTCAAAAATTTGTTAATGAGATAAAAAATCAGTTTGGGGTGTCTATTAAAACTTTACGAAGTGATAATGCTGGAGAATACTTTACAACTCCTTTATCTAACTTTCTTGATTCAGCGGGCATCCTCCATGAGTCATCTTGTCCCGATACTCCACAACAAAATGGGGTATCTGAACGTAAAAACCGCCATCTCGTTGAAACAGCCCGCACCATGATTCTCCACTATAAAGTCCCTCCAGAATTCTGGGCAGATGCTATCCTTCATTCCTGTTATTTAATAAATCGTATGCCTTCATCTGTTTTACATGGTAAGATACCTTATAATATTTTATTTCCCGATAAGCCTCTTCATACTCTTCCTTTAAAAATTTTTGGGTGCACCTGTTTTGTCCGGGACACTACCCCAGGGCGTGATAAATTTTCTCCAAAATCCTTAAAATGCATGTTTGTTGGGTACTCTAGGTTGCAAAAGGGTTTCAGATGTTATTCTCCTGATAAGCATCGATTTTATGTATCTTCTGATGTTACTTTCTTTGAATCAACACCTTTCTTTTCGTCTAGTTTACCGACCTCCATCTCTCATTTTCCTGATGTTCTTCCTGTTCCTACTTTTCAAGGAGGGACCGAGGTACATTTACCTCAAGATCCGTCATCACCTAGAAATCCTAGTCCCTCACCTACTGAACCTCCTTTACAAAACAACGGTGTTACCCCCTTTCCTTACACTTATCATCGCCGCTCTCGACCACCCGCGACAGTTCAAATCGATGAAATCCCAACTGATTCATCTCTCGAGCTATCTATGCCCTCGAACCCGGTTCCGGCAACAAGCTCTCCTATTGCAAGTCGTGTAGGTAACAGGTCATCACGAAATCCCTTTCCCATATACAACTTTATTTCATATGATAATCTCTCACCTTCATATAATGCTTTTATCACATGTTTATCTTCTGTTTCTATCCCTAAATCTGTTAAAGAAGCCCTTTCCCACCCTGGTTGGCGTCAGGCTATGATTGATGAAATGGCTGCTCTTCATTCATCGGGAACTTGGGAGTTAGTTTCATTACCCGAAGGTAAAACAACTGTTGGTTGCCGATGGATCTATACTGTGAAAGTTGGGCCCAATGGACAAGTTGATAGACTTAAAGCTCGACTGGTAGCTAAAGGATATACACAGGTTTTTGGGATTGATTACACTGACACCTTTTCACCAGTAGCTAAAATTGCTTCGGTCAGAATCTTTCTTTCTATGGCTGCCGTTCATCATTGGCCCTTGCATCAGTTAGATATTAAAAATGCCTTTCTGCATGGAGATTTAGAGGAAGAAGTCTACATGGAGCAACCTCCTGGGTTTGTTGCTCAGGGGGAGAGTAACTTGGTTTGTAAGCTCAAACGTTCTCTCTATGGTCTAAAACAATCTCCTCGTGCCTGGTTTGGACGGTTCAGCATAGTAGTGCAAAATTTTGGTTTAAATCGAAGCAAAGTTGACTATTCCGTCTTTTATAGACATCAACATGGTAAGAGCATTTATCTTGTTGTATATGTTGATGATATTGTCATTACAGGAGATGATGTTGAAGGAATACAATTGTTGAAACAACATCTATTCCAACATTTTGAAACAAAAGATCTGGGGAAGTTAAAATACTTTTTGGGAATTGAAGTAGCACAATCCAAGCAAGGAATTTGCATATCACAAAGAAAGTATGCATTGGATATACTAGAAGACACAGGTATGATGAATTGCAAACCTCTTGACACTCCTATGGATCCAAATATCAAACTCCTACCAGACCAGGGGGAGCTTATCCAAGATCCGGGAAAATATAGACGATTGGTTGGAAGATTACTTTATTTAACTGTAACTCGACCTGATATCTCTTTTGCGGTAAGTGTTGTTAGTCAGTTCTTGGCATCTCCACGTGAAAGTCATTGGGAAGCTGCCATTCGGATTTTACGATATATTAAAAAATCTCCAGGCACTGGTTTGTTATACAAAGACCATGGAAACCTTGAAATTATTGGGTACACAGATGCAGATTGGGCAGGTGCATGGGATAGAAAATCAACATCTGGATATTGTATCTTTCTTGGTGGCAACTTAATCTCTTGGAAAAGTAAAAAGCAAAATGTTGTTGCTCGATCAAGTGCAGAAGCCGAATATCGATCTATGGCCGTTGGAACATGTGAACTTGTGTGGTTGAAAAACCTCCTTACCGAATTGCAGATTTGTACAAAGGAGTCCATGAAGCTCATTTGTGATAACCAAGCAGCTTTGCATATTGCATCAAATCCAGTTTTTCATGAAAGGACGAAACACATTGAAATTGATTGCCATTTTGTTCGAGACAAAGTTACTTCTGGAGATATTACTACATCTTTTATAGGCTCAAATAATCAATTAGCTGATATATTTACTAAAGCTTTAAGAAGTCATAGGATTGAATACATTTGTAACAAGCTTGGTGCATATGATATACATGCTCCAGCTTGAGGGGGAGTGTTGAAACACAAAAGTTGTGTCTGTAGAAATATAGCTGTTGAAGTTGTGTAGGGTTGTGTCTATTAGGATTGTGTCTCTTAGTCTGTATATATATTTATCTATTGTCTCCTCATTGAGACAAGCAAGTAATAAAAACTTCTTCTACATCTTCTTTTTCAACAAACCACTCATGGTCCTTCAACTATAAAATTTTAACCACCTATGGTCCTTCTAGAGGACCGCGGCTGGTTAAATTTTGAAAGTTGAAGGACCATGGGTGGTTAATTTGGACTACGGATGGTAATAATTTGAAAGTCGAAGGACCATGGGTGGTAATTTGAAAGTTTAGGACTAAACGTGGCAAAACCACTATACTCGGAGGACCCTAGATGGTATTAACTCTATGTTTTAATGTCTTGCTCTGTGCCTCATTTGTTTGTTGGTTGAATAGAACATTGCTTAGTTATATGGTGATATGACAAATAACTTTTGTTTGTTTCCTATTAGAGTGGACCACTTGCTGCATATTATAAGCTTCCACTCAACCGCGTGATTGTGGTATAGTCTTTTGGGCGATTCAAACTTTTAATTCTTATTTGAAATGACTAAATACTTTGTGACACTTGGACATAATGTTTTTTATTGTAGTTTCATGATGACATGGATTTGCCATGTGGGGTACTTCGTCTTCACCCTAAAGGAGGTCATCATAGTCACAATGGGTATGACCATTATGTCTAAATTTACTCACAGAATAACTATCATGGTATGTGCATAGTTGCATGCTTGGGTCTTCATAGCTAATTTCAAGTCTTTGATTTTTATTTTATTTTATTTTTTTTGTTTTTCGCTCAAAGTATTTTCTAATCTTTCAACACGTTGGCTGTTCTTATCTCTTCATCCTGCACAAACCTGATAGCCACTAAAATCTTCCAATTGCAATAAAAGCAGAACTTTGAGTTGCCTATTTAATAGGGCTACTAATTGGTGGCATTTGGTTTATGTTTATTAACACCTACCTCTCTAACTGTGTTAGGCTGTGTTACAAGAGATTGAATTTCTGTGGCATCCTCATCCTTATCATTATTATTGTTATTACTACTTTCACATTGCTATGTGGCCTGTGCATGCTCCATGCTAGAAAACCAGAACGTGAAATTACATCTTTTAGGATTGAGATACATCTTATGAAACTGCCAGTTAAAAGCCTCATAGCAAGTTAAGAAGTCAACTTCACACTAAGTATACTTGGGTATGTTTTACTTTAAGCATATATGGTTTATATCCTGTTTAGGAAACATCTTTTTATCCACATTATAAAGTTCTGTATCTTGGTCTCCTTCCTGTTTCAAATTATACCAAATAGGTCTCAATTTACCAAGCCACTTTATGTGATGAATCTCACCTGGTGTTTGTTTTCTTAAGTTTTGGATTGCTATGTTTTAACAGCATAAACTCCTGATTTCTGGTAATTTTATGGATATTTACGAAATTCATTGCCTATATCTCTACTGGTTCTTGTGTTCCGGTTAGTAATAGTTTCAGAAATTAAAAATTCTTTCATATCTGTATGTTTGGTATAAATGTCTGGCCAGTACATAAAATACTAACAATTGGTATAGGAATGTTTCTTTGAAGATCTCTGACACTGTTTTTCTTTCTATATACATTTTAGGTTAAAGAGTGTGATTTATCATTTTTGTGGAAACAAAGAGTTTCCTCGATTACGAATAGGTTGGTGGAACCTTGGATCTCTTTATTATTATTATTATTATTATTATTATTATTATTATTATTATTATTATTCTCTGTTTGCTTTTAGCTTTCTCTTGTATGTCGAATAATTCTTATTTCTCCTGTTAGGCATTGGAAGACCTCCTGGTCAAATGGATCCGAAGGCATTCTTGCTTCAAAAGTTTAATGCAACTGCTCGAGAACGGGTACGCTCATCTTTGTTATATTCTACTTTGTAATTTTTAATATAATTGTCCTCCATTTGTTCCTGATGTGTGATTAGTGAAATGAATGGAATTAGTTTGTGAGCCTTTATTGAGGGACTTTGACTTCCCATGCTTTTAACAGTATTGGTTTAATTGAGCATATTTTTGGTTGCCATTTATATGTAATTTATAACTGTCAATTTTGATTCAGACAATGGAACAAAGAGAGTCCCACCTATGTAAATATGACAATAATACCTCCAGTGTGCAGTGTCTAGATCAACTCAATGTTTTTATTCCTGCATATACAATATGTAGATCGGCTTGTTTTAGTTGTTTATGGTCCCTGCATCAACAAAGAGGAGTTAAAGGAAAATTTAGGGCCCGTTTACTAACTGGAAAATTCTTGAAAACTGAAGAATAGAAAACAGAAAACATGTTTACTTGCATAGTTGTGCAGTTTGTCATTTTGAAAAGGGTAAACAATTTTCCAGTTTTTGTTACTTTTTTCGGAAAACAGAATCTCTATCAACTATTTGACTATATATCTACCCCTACAGCCACATTCCTACGACATCCTCACCTTTATCTATTTATATATTTATCCAATACTATGATTACATTCATTATTAGCTTATTTTACTTATCACCACCTTTTATCCTTTCTACTCTCATTTACTTTATATAAACATAACTTATTTGCTTATACTTAAAGTAAGACACTTCACATTAAAACTCAAAATATAAACCGATTTTAAGATTTTGGTTTAACCCAATAGATTATTGGTTTTGATATTTTTAGTTATGTTATATTCAAAAATAAATTTAGTTCGGATATCAAATGTCAAAATCTTACATATATTATACTCCAAAGTAAACATTATATTTATTCTGTGTAAACTAAACATATCTAAAAATATTTTAAATATAAGGTCTAAAATATCACTCGAAATTGGACTTGTGTTATTATAACATTAGTCTAAAAAAAGAAATTAAAAAAAATGAGTGCTAGTAAACAAATTTTCTAAACAGAAAACGGAGAATGAAAATTGAAAAAAGAAAACAGATAATAGTAAACTTAACGGATCTAGTCTTTTGACAAGTTATGCACAAAGAACCCTTTTGGATTTCATAATGACCTTAACTTGCAATATTTTGATTGTTTAACGGGAACCTTTTTAAGGCGGCATGTTTTTGCTTGTGAAAGGTTGATCATGTGAATATGATGTCTTTCTATTGAATTTAATTTGAGGCAGAAATTATAATGTTCTTTGTGTTATGGAGATTCTATCAGAAGGAGACGGCTTTTGGGGTTTCTACCAACCCAGCTTCCTCACAAAAAACGAAATAAGTGATGCAGGCTTAATGTTCCAAGAAAACCATCTGGCCATGGCCAGTCCTCTTTGCATGGGGGGGGGGGGGGGGGGGTGTTGTCTTAGTTTAGAACTTTAGATACCTCAAAGTTCTCTATGCTCCATATTATCTTCCCAATAGAATACAGTTCAAGAGGAGTATTGATCTACTTTTTGACAGGTTGATGTTGCTTTACAAGGAGGGGTTGATGCGTTGAAACAGCTCTTATCCAAAGGCTTAACAGAATCTGCGAGGTGTTTTAACACTCAACAAAAGTACAAGCATATAAGATTACAGACAATCCCAACATGATCATGATTATATTCAAGCCTTCAATCAAGGTTTCTAGCTAGAACCATACTGCTGGTGCGTAGCTTCTTTCTTTAGAGTATTTGATTATCTTTAACTGACTTTTCAAAGTATACATCCAAGTGAATAACAAAAAAAAAATAAAGAAATTGATTTCATTTCTAGGTGCTAAGGCACTTGATTTATTTATCAATAAACACACTTGCTTAAAATAAATGCATTTGCCCTTATTTGGAGCCAACTTAGCTTTCTCTTTGTTGCTCTCTCATCAAAGTTTCAATTCTTGAAAGCCATTTACTTGAAAATGAGTAAATGACCATTGTCCATTGGTCTTTAACACCTTTTACTATAGGAAAAAGTTTTGATATCGAATTACACGTACAAGTGTAATTGGGCCATCAATTTTTTTAAAAGGTACAATTAGGTTCTTAAACTGTCTAAAATCATGCAATTTGATCATTAATTTGACCAAATTTGACATGTCCCTCTGGTCATCGCTGACATGGCGATCATCATATTTAATTTTTTTTTAATAATTTTAAATAAAATAACAAAAAAAAAAAGGAAATAAAATCCCATCCCCACCCTGTCTTTGTCTCCAGCACTCTTCATCTTTGGCCGGAGATGAAGATGGAGAGAGGGTGGTGTTTTTTTTTTTTTTTTTTTTTTTTTTTTTTTTTAAATAAATTTAAAAATAATAAATTTTTAAAATGATGACCGTCACATCAGTGATGACGGGATAAACAAGTCAAATTTAATCGAATTGCCAAATATTGAACTATTCAGGGAGCTAATTGCATTTTTTTTTTTTAGTTGGATGGTCCAATTGCACTCTTGCATTAACAGCTACCTTGAAGTTTGAATTTGAAATATGTTCTGATTGCTTATTACTGTAGTGAATTCCTATTTTTCAGTTATGATTTATGAATGGCAAATGCTGTCTGTTGCTACCAAGGCACAAGATGCAGCTTTCAAGAGATTATGGTGGTTAAACCGAGCATAAATATGAAGGTAGAGTACCAGGAAAGCCATCCCACTTCAACCGTGATGAAATTTGTTTTTTTTGTTTTTTTTTTTTTTTTTTAATCATTACTTGCATTAGACACAGTTAACAAATATTAAGATTCTGGCAAAAAAAATCAAATATTATACACCATTATTCCCCATTAACCTTCCTTGTGTTTGCTGTCCTCTCAAGAACAAGAAATGGGAATTACTTGTGCTTGTGAAATCCTTTTGCTTTACATCCAATCTTTTTGTCAATTCCTTAGTTATCAATCATTATTCCATACACCATGCTCCAGTAGTGTGGACCATGAATAAAAGGCACATTTCTAATATATTAAATGTATATTATTTATGTATTAAATGTACATTATTTAAATACTGAAAGTATATTATTTCGTATACTATCAAATAATGTACATTCAATTTTAATATATTTTTAGTATATTAAAAATGTACTTTTTTTTTCATGATCCCAACACAGAAATATTTGCCGTATAGTTACACAGGGACGTCATATTTTAGAATTTGAAAATGAAAATTTAGATTAATTGAATGATGTATATATTTATATTTGTTAGTGTAAATACACTAATTTATTAAGATTAAAATTTAGAATGTCAATTTGAAAATTTTAAAAGTTTTAGTTGAGTCTACTCAATAAATTTACAATCATTATTGCGTGGACTGTGGTTCACACAGTTGTGCGGATCACAATTTAAAAACACATAAAGTATATATTATTATAACTCATAAAATACATTATTTTAACACATACAATACATTATTCTAACTTATAAAATACATTATTTTTACTCTAGAAATTTAATTATTCTAACACATAAATTACATTATACATTATTCTAACTCATAAAATTTATTATTCTAACACATAAAATAAATTATCTTACACCATACCAGGGACGGAGCCAGAAATTCGGTTGGGGGGGGGTGAAATAGTACAGACGAATTCAGAAATTTTTTCCAGTAAAGGCGAAACCTAAGAAATATAGTTGTAAATATTTTTGGATATGGACGAAAAATAAAACACATCGAAACTTTATAAAAATATTCATAACAAAATATGAAACATAATTAATTTGATAAAATAATTTGAATAGAAAACACATTATAAATTACACATCTTATTATTAATATAAAAAAATGTTATATATATGTGTGTGCTTAAAAAAACTATTAAAAACGTGACTGTGTTGAAGTCATAGGGGAATGAGTAAAAAGAATTGTAAAACTATGTTGATGCCAAGATTTGAACCCTTGACTTAAAAATAAAAATTGCCAAATATCTGCTCTACCACATAATCTAAGTCACTCCTTCTTAATAATTTATAATTTTTTTATACTAATACTAAAACTTGTACTATATATACATATATACATACAAAGACTATATATGTGGTGGGGGTGGGGTGAGGGGGTCAGCTGCCCCCCTTTGACTTCGTCCCTACACCATACCTTTCATTATTCTAACACATATAAAGTACATTAATTTAACACATAAAGTACATTATTCTAACTCATAAAATACATTATCTTACTCCAAATGTTCATTATTCTAACACGCGTGCGAAGCAATGATTTTTTTTAACATCAAAATGACGTCGTTTTGAACCGTAGTCCACATAGCTATGTGGATCACAGTCCACACAATAATTTGCCATAAATATGAAAACCTGATGTTTTAGAGTTAGAGTCAAGAATTTTAAATTTGACTAAAAAATAAATCGATAATTTCGACTACTTGATAGAACTAGCTCGAAATTAAATGAACTAACCTGATTGACATCCTTACTTTTTCCACAATACTATTAATGTCACGAAAAGCTAGACTAAAGGCACCATGAACAAATTTTTCGAACTACAATGGAGTAAGTGAAACACTTTTGAGGGCGTTTAGTAGTGAGGAAAATTTGAATTTGTTTGGAAATTTAAAAGGTTAGAAAATTATTCTCATGTTTGGTGTAATTCTTAACTTTAGAAAGTTTGGATCAGTGGGAATCACATCACATGATATCAAGTAAATCCTATTTAGGGGAGGTAGGATTCTTTTTTTTCAAAGTGACTAGGAATCTACCAAATTTATTTAAGAGTGAATACCCAAAATGGTCCCTCGACTATAGCTAAATTCACAAATTGATCATCGACTTTCAATTTCAACCAATTAAGTCCTTAACTTTGCAATTTTGACCCGATTTGGTCCTCCATCTATTTGACCGTTTGTTGACCGTGATCGACGATCTCCAGAAGAACCTTCAGCTCTCGTCGGAGCATGTGGAGGCCTCCAGGATGACGTTGCACCAGTTCGGAAACACGTCGTCTTCTTCGCTCTGGTTCGAACTCAACTACATTGAATCCAAAGGGAGGATGAAGAAAGGCGACCAGATTTGGTAGATTGCTTTCGACAGTGGATTCAAATGTAACAGTGCGGTCTAGATATGCAACCGGAATCTTAAAAAAAGACGATGGACCATGAAATTACATATATATCCTCAAAAATCACAGTCAACAAACGGTCAAATAGACAGAGGACCAAATTGTGTTAAAATTACAAAGTTAAGGACTTAATTGGTTGAAATTGAAAGTCGATGACCAATTTGTGAATTTAGCTATAGTCGAAGGACCATTTTGAGTATTTACTCTTTATTTAATTACATATTTATCTTTTTTGGCATAAGGTTAAAAGTCTTTAATAAATATAAAAATTTGTTCCTCCTAAGTCCCACCATTACACATTGTTTATCAATTTTTATTTTTTACATTTAAGTACTAGTTAAAGTATTTTCGTAATCTAATTTGCAATATGATTCATTATGTAACGATGCATTGTGTATGTGTGTTTGTATATATGTTATACATGACCACATTCATTACATGAAGTTTGATGGTGTAAAGTATTGTACAAAAATAAGCTTAATTGTGTGTGTGTGTGTATATATATATATATATATATATATATATATATATATATATAATTGCACTCAGGAGGGAATATGCGAACGAATCAGCGCGCGACACATGTCCAGATCTAATGGATTAAAAAAAATGTATTACAAGTGCATGTTATAGGTGCAAATAAAATTTACACTGAGCATCAATACTAAGTGCACCTATAGTTATAAGTAGTTGCACCTATAGTTATAAGTATGTGCACCTAGGTGCATGAATGTTTGCGGGAATTGAATGTTAACAAGGCAAAATTACATGCACTTATAGGTAAAAGTAGGTGCCCTTGTAAGTGATTTTACTTGCACTTCAATGTTCAATTATTTACGAAAATACCACAGCATTTTTTTAATTCATTAGATCTGGACACGTGTTGCGCGCTGATTCATTCGCATATTCTCTCCTGGGCACTTATTCGCACTCGAGTGCATCCCTATATATATATATATATATATATATTAGTGTAAGGTTCCCGTACGGTTGAATACTTTTCGTGCGGTTGATTAATGTGCGTGAGGTTTGTACTCAATGTGCGTGAGTATTGTGATTAATGTGTCTGAGATTTGTACTTAATGTGCGTGTGTGTGTAATATTAATGTGCGTGAGTTCTGTACTTTAGGTGTGTGAGTCTTGTGTCTAAGATGCGTGAGTTGTGTGCTTACAGGACGTTTGGTTGGAGGAATTTTAAATTCCCTTCCCACTTAATTCCCACATAATTCCAAAGGCCATTAAATTTCGTAGTTTGGTTGGAGGGAATTGCAATTCCCCCATTTTCATGGAATTAAAATCCCATGTTCCATCTGAGATTTTAATTCCTGGGAAAAAAAGATAGTGATGAGTCAAAATTACCCCTTCCTTTTTAACCTAAAATTAATGTCTAACAACAATAATGGACATTTTTGACTTTATACTACTTATTCCCTTTCAATTTCCATGTATACCAAACATTGGAATTGAAATTCCCAGTAATTATATTCCTGTCAACCAAACACTGGAATTTAAATTTCACTTTATTCCTAGTAATTCAACTCCCATGGAATTATAATTCCTTTCCCACATAATTTTCCCCTCCAACCAAACGCCCTGTTAATGTGCGTGAGTGTGTTCTTCATCCACTGCTGTGAAAATTATGCGCATCCACTGCTACATTTTCTTCTTGTTTTGTTTTGTTTTTTTTGTTTTTTTTTTTTTCGAAGTGGTGGAGGAATGGATTTTGTCTTGTTTTTAACATAAAATCAGAACAACCATATGTGCGTTTACATATATCCATCCATTCACACAC